AAAAACCCCCACCACAGAGAAGATCCAAACTGGCCCAATTTAGCATTTAAACATCTCCCCCCTTAATTTTTTCGACTTTCTCTAGAACGGCATGCAGCCGCCCCTTCTACAGATCTCAAGTATTCAGTCAGTTAATGGTAATGATACAAAATGTACATCAAATCAAATTCTATACAAAAATTACATTAGTACTAGCAGAAAACCCAACAAAGAGCCTTGATAGAAAAGAAAACTAATGCTCGTCACATGCCAAAATCTCCTCCATCCAAAAATCTGGGCCATAGATGGGAATTTATCACAATTCGACCAGTAAACCAGAAAGATTGTTCTCTGGATTCTTGGCAATTTGGGCTGCCTCTGCAATTTTAAGGGCCATAAATGCTTTATAAGCGGCTAAATCAGCATTGGCCATGAGCAATTGGGCCTTTTGACGCTTTAGAATAGCCAGGCCCTCGGACCTGCCTGCAGCTGCCTTGGCTTCTTGCAACTTGTGTACGCGGTTCTGTTGCTCTAAAGTATTTTGTTCGGTTGCAATAGCTGTTAAATGGAATTTATGTTTAATTAATAGCCACTCTAAAATGAAGTTATTTTATTTTTTATTTGGATTACATCAAATTCATGGGTAAGCATACTAGTTCGAGCCCAAATTGTCATGTATATAGTAAAATGAAAAAGGTGTACAGCACATAATTTTTATCACAGAGGTTTGGCCGAATTTCGTAAAGCCAGGGTGGAGTTTTTAGGGGGTATGTAACTTCCAAAGATAACTGGCTCTTTGTGACTAATACGAAGAAAAATATCATAACGCTGACAATTTCAATTCAGGTACCCTATAGGAAACTTAAATCTAGAACAAGATAAATCAACGGGACTACAAAATAGATATCCACGAGAACGTCCAAAAGACACACAGATATCATTTTGATCCTTTTTTTTTAATCAAAAGTTGTACATAAATATCAGTGTACAATAAATGAGGTCAAGATCCACACTGTGATGTACCACAGCTATCATATAAACTACCAAATTAACAGTTTGTATCACACCAAATACAAAAATCGATCATGAGTGACTCTATCCTTTCATATTCTTTATAGAAAACAATTATAAACACAAGACCCCTGAATAAAAAGCATAACAATATCAAGCATGTTATGAATGAATAACGTCAGCTTCATAATTCATCAATAAAAAATTCACAACTGATTAGTAGATCATTGCTCATAACTACAGAAATATAAAGGTAAGTTTAAGACACATAAAATAAATAAATAAATCAATGAAAGAATGAATACCTGGAAAAGTAGGTCGTTGTTTGCCTCGCCCAATCTGACTTGCCTGTCGCTTAAATGATCTTTTCTTTCGCGAAACTGATTTTGTGTTCACTTGAATTCTTCTAGGCTGGTAAAGCTGCCAGTAAAGAAAATTGCAATTCTAACTTTAGAAGAATTGCTTTAGATAAACCAGGCTAGGAAGCCCATAGCAAGGTAATACTAACCATAAACAACCAGAAATTTATTCTTATTTACCTGGAAAATATTATTTCATCCAAAAGAAAAGCAAACTAGTACAACACCATTAATAACAACATTATTTACCTGGAAAATCTTCACCAGAGCAGCTCGTTTCTGTTTCCGCTTTTTAACCCAATAGCCATGGATGGCCTCAACAACTTCCTTTCTCTCCAAATGCATGCAAGAATCACAGACCGCTTGCTCGTCCAAATTATTATCCGGATTGCAGTGAAAGCTTTTTTCGAGAGCATCAATGATCGACTCAAAACTCTCAGGCGTTACAAGCTCAACTACTTCCTCACCCCTACACAGCTCGTCGTTAAAATCAGCCAACCACACCTCATCATCAGAGTCCATGTCGTAAATTGCGGTCGATCGAGCAAGAGCACGAGTCAACTCATCGTCCCTCACGCGAATGTACGAAGCAGGCCTCGCGTAAGGCTTATAGTCCTTATTAGTGTCCAATACTTCCTGCACTGTGGGAACAGGAATTACACTGGCTGCAGGTGAAAGCATGTTCCTTTCGTAGCACTCCTTGTAAAGCTCCTTGAAAATCAACCAATCGTGTTTGTAGGGAAACTCAAGCTTTGAGCCACCTTCGACGGCCCAGATTGTCGCGTGGGAAAAACGATTGGTCCAAGAAGGACGCATAACCTTGTCAGCAGTTAGGCTGTACTTTTTCTTTCCATCCTTTTTTACGACAAGGAACCAATTTTTCGAAGTTGAGTATTCTAAAGTGATCGTGGCTCCTTCTTCCCGAAAACACCTGTCGGGCTCGGTTATTAACAGGTTCACGCAACAGCCTGTGATAAACACATCCTGTGTGCTTGTACATTTTAGCGCTCTGAAATTTTTCGCCACGGGACTACTCTTAGCAGGAGAAACTTTCGCGTTTTCTTGTCTGATCCTTAAAAAGTCAGCGGCCAAAGTTCCGAAGGACTTTTGGGTTCGGAAGGCAGCAGGGACTTGACCTTTCTTGCGTCTCAAGGAACTCCGTCTTTTCTGAATGTGACGACTATTTCTCGATTGAAGAGTTCGAAGAGATGATTTATTTATTCCAACATTAGCAGTGCGTGAAAACTCTTTTCTTCCAGAAACAACTTGAGGTACAACGACTTCCACCGAATCTTGCTGCTCCACATACGGTGGGGGGAATTCAATTGACTGTGTTTCGCAATAATCATCCACATTAGTAACTTCCTCATTCTTCTCGTAAATATTGACTGAATGTGCCACAGAATGTTCCGAATAATCAGCCATGTCCATAACGTTCTCTTCCTTCTCATATATACTGACTGAATGTGCCACGAGAAAGCAAGACAAATGTTCAGATCTAATACACATGCTTGTTTGCATGTGCATAAAGAATGAGGGGATGGCGGAAATGTTAACAGAAAAGGTTGGTACTAATGACTTGGATCCTGAAATTTTGCAAATAACAGGTCTCTTGGTGTTGGAAGAATCCTGCAAAATGGGGAAAACAATAAATTGGTGAGAAACAATCACAATAAAATAAGAAAGATAATAAAAAAAAAAGAAAGCAAGTAAATATCTTTGCAACTAAACTAGAGTTCTGGACTTCATTATTGAAACACTGCACTTCAGAAATTTAAAGATCCCAAAATTCAAAGCTGAATTTACAACATAAAGCCACTCAAATGTATCCCAGAATGAAGAAGGAAAAATTAAAGAAAGACACCTAAAGATTAAACTTTTTACCTGGACGAAAAGCACTCCACTTGACGTATAAGCATCGAATATAGGTTTGTACAGAAGAAATGCAGACAATCGTCTAACTCCAATTCTGACCCTCAGCATGTAACTGAGAACTGTAGCAAGGAAGCAAGTGATCCAAAAACTATACCTCCAAGCTGGCCCATTCACAGTAATAGCAAGTTCACGAAGCCCGATAACTGAACTCCGGTCAACCCCACAAGTTTCAGACACTGCAACTTTACTTCTTTTTCTCCATTGCTTCCTGAAAAACTTCTTCCCACATCTTCTATCCTCGTTCGGATCAAACTCGGCCCTTTTTCTCTTTCTTCTGTACACAATCCCATACATCCTGTCTGCAGTTTTCACCTCCACATCACCATATTCAGGTGGAATTTCCTCCATTTCCATATCTCCCTCACTGTTTTTATTTTCCTGCTTTGCTTCCTTGCAGACATCATCAGCACCTTCTACTACATCAGCAGAATCTTCTAAAAGCTCGGCCCACTGATCATCCCCATGATATACCCGGACCTTTTTACTGTCTTCCTGAGGCTTGGTCCATAGCCTCCTGCCTGACCGCAAAACACGTGCCCCAAACACCCTTGTGCTCCTTCTCATACCAACTGAAGGCATTGACTTGCACTTACCAGGAAAAGCCCCTGAACTAATTTTCTTCTTCAGCGTTGTAATCAAACACCTTTAGTGGCCAGAACTTTAACAGTAGGACAATCAATACCTTTTTTATCACTATTTCTTTCAAAATACAGTAAACAGAATACAAGGATATGGGAAATGCGTAACCAGCCAAATTGATTCAGCATGAACTAGCAGCGGATTTCAAAAGGCTTAATTGGCCATGATTGCCCCAAACGCCACACCCTAAAGCACAAAGCACGGATTTTTTTAGGTCTACTCAAACAATAAGGTCTTACCGAAATTCGAATTCTTGGAACATGCAGGGGAAACCACCCTTCATCGCGACTTCGCCATACCAGAACCAAGTCTTAACTAAACAGACTCGGATCGACTGGTCACAACTCCAACCCACTGCAAGCCCCGATTTTTTTTCCCTATAATTTTCGTTCCAGGCCACAAAATGAAGAAACAAAATATTGCAAGACAATATTTTGGGGGTAAAAACCGAAGATCAAGCAAATCTCACAAACATCTCACAAAATCTCATCTTTTTTTCAGATTCTCAGACCCAATTACCTATCAACACGCAAACCATACAAATAACACGATACAAAATATTTCCAACAAAAAAAAAAA